AGGAAAGAACATACTACTCGCAATCCTCATCAGTAGTATCCACCGTTACACTTGTATTGTTGTTGATACCGGCAACAACCCTCTTGATACATCTAGAATGTTCGTATAGATAGAGTTGACATCACAAATTACAAAAAATTTGTCTAGCTGCATCCGGGATCCAGCCATCTTTTTTTAGCAAAATCAAGGAATATTGGTAGAACTGGTAATAACATCATGCAAAACCGAAGGGATAGCCTCCTCAGTATCAGCAGACATCAAAAAGCATTTGGAAGCGATCGGGGAAAGGTGGAAATACAAAGCACGTGACAATGCGGTGGATTTCAAACAACTTTCTGGGAGTAGAAATGCATACCGGGCTGAAAGTCGTTGAAACCTGCGGTTCTTTCGATCAGAAAACACCATATGAATGTATCAAACAAAAAAGGATGACACGGGGATCGGTCGGACATGAGACCATAGGAACTAAAGTAATTCGGGCATGATACGAATGAGCTGGATATTCCCCCAGACAGTTCACAATAACAGCAGTGGCAATGAACCGGCAAAGTCTTTTGGGGATTTTCTCACCAAAACCTGGAGACGTATTGCCCGTCAGACGATTCGCACGGGGAATATCTTTCCTTGTGATCAGCTCTAATAAAAACTCCAGTCACATTGTAGAACTCCATGACTTGGCCGGGTACACAAAGAACATCTGTATGCAGTACTCTTTGGCGTCCGAATTTAGGACACAGTTAAGTTGTAAAATATCTCCCGACACCTCTAATGTCATGAATGGCGGCCTAGCTGCTGAATCTGATTTCGGTTGGCCGGCACACAACGAGTTTTCTCGCCACGGTATTGAGAGATAGATATCCATTCATGTGAAAATGTCTTGGACGCGTGAAGGTCTAGAACCGATAGAACCTGCTGCGATGTCACGATGCCAGATTGCAACCCTCGAGCAAATGCCAGTAGGTCAGCACTAGTAAGCAGACTATCGGAGTTGGTTTCGAAGAATAGGACGGTGCGATTCACGACTGGATTTATGAAGGTGGTTTAAACTTCAGAGACAGATGGACGTGAAGCTCTCCGACCGATGGTTTGGTCAAAGTCACCAGATGTCGATTCGTCCGAATGTAATTGCCACATGAGCACATGTAACCTAGTTTTGGTAATGAAAGTCAATCGGCCAAGAAAATATTATCCTAGCCTCACAAATAGACAGGTCTTTGTGGCACAAGAAGGATATAACTTGCCAGTCAGTCGCAAGAGTAACTGTGACTCTTGTTGGGACCAGCCGGCACTGGAGTTCTTTACTCGGCGAAGCTTATCTGTATTACGATGTCCAGGGTGCGCTTGTCAGGCTAATCTTCGTCCGAAACCAATGAGAACAATCAGTATAAGCCAAATGGGTACCCCGTGTTCGGCCAACACTTCATGGACGTGAACTGGGCGGTTGGCCACCAAGTCAGCCTTAGGCTTGCAGCGCTAGCTACAGTCCTCACACGTTAGCTCCAAGTATCTCTGTTGTATATCTTTTGGTATTTGTGTAGGTGTTATTCACTGACAAAAGTAACCTAAATGTCGAGCCCAAACAGTTCGTTTAGCCCGACACCCAGTTACTGAACTCTTAGCTCACTCAGGCTGACATCCGGGTTATCAGTTGGCAACAGCAAGACTTGATTCAGCGCGCCGACTAGTCCTGTTTGTCGTCTATTTTTGAATGTCTGCAGGAACACAAAGAGAAAAGACGATTCCAGGTGAAGACACATTATCTCTAGTTTGTCAGTCAAAAGAAATGATACTTGATTCGTTCAGTTGTAGCACCGTTTCGGTGCCTAGCGGCCGTGCCACCCGAAGGAAGCATGAGGGCTGGGATATTACCAGTTTGCCCAAGCCTAGACAGGGGAAGTCGAGAGGCGGAGGTCGCGTTCGAACCACAGGCCTTCCGGTCAGCAAACTCGCGCTCTGACCACTTGGGCAATCTCACCTCGTCCTCGCCACTTTTCGGGTTCAAAATGTTATTTCTGCTCAAAACGTCTATCGCGAATACATCTTTGTTGTTGATGCTTTTAAATATGCGATGAGCAGCGCTTATATTTCTTGGATCCTACACTGAGGAATGAGGTTACTTTTAAAAGTGGTAGGATTTGGAATCTGTGATTTTTGCACTCAGTTCATAGATGTATGTTGGTTACAATGCAAAACTAAGCGACTACAGAGAGATCCCGACGACAGAACGTTACGACGGTGGATAGTACTGATGAGGCATGTGAGTAGTGTGTTTTCTCGTAAATCCGCTTCGCGTTTCTTGAAAAGTGAGATCTATTACGGAATTCGTGGAGTCGCATTTGCTTGCACTTGAGCAACAGTCAATGAATATCTAAGAAAGTTCTGAAAGACGCGTTGAAGGGGAATATGGATATTCAGTTTTGTAAACAAGATGCATATGAGAGTTTTGCTCCTCTGTCCAACAGTCTGTAGCTGTTCATTTGGTGTTTCCCTAGTGGAAAACTCCGCAGCGAAGGCCTTCCTTCCTTCCCAAATATGCCGGTAAGGTTACGAACAAATCAGGCGTACACCCTCTGTGAGATTCGAGATCTTGAAAATCTTGTTTGTTGTGATCATTCTTATAGGAACTACTGCTAGAGCAACTGACTCCCCCCCTTCCT